CCTTGTAGAGCTAGGCTTCCAGCAAATATCTTCTCTATTCTTAATTTTTATTAGAAAATTCAAATATAAATTAATAAATAAAATAGTAAAAACTGAATTTGCAGATACTTTCAACTGAAACTCTGCAACAAATGTCATTTGTAATGGATCTTATACTCTCTCATTGTTGAACTATGTATAAATTTCCAAATGAATCCTACATAAGTAAAACTCAATTGTCAGAAGCATACCCTAAAAACCAACTTAAGGCTCAACTAAAAAGAAAAAAAAAAAAAAAAAATCTAAAACAGCCTCAAAATATTTTCTTTATCTGACTAAGACCATAATCCAACTCCCTCTTCATTATCACCATTAACAACACTAAAGACCATCCTTGAACAGGGAGGAGAAAGAGATAGAGAGAGAGAGACAGAGAATCATGGAATGACTGTACAGAATAACAAAGTCATCTGCTAGTATATGCTTTTGACCTACCGCGCTGTTCCCTACTCGATGGTTCAATTACTAAAATAAAGTGTAAAAAAACAAATTATCCACCTACTTTAAATTAAAAAGAAAAAAAACATCTAATAAATCATGTTACTCTTTGGAAGGAAACCAAATTCAGCTTCCAACATTGCCATTTCAATCTGCTCCGTCCTGTGGAACGGCTGCAATGACCACTAAAAGAAGCTTAAGCAAAAAAGACTTGGTGGAACCCATTGCAGTAATATGGCTAGGGTGTTGTAGAGAACCTTAGAAGAAAATGATATTCAGGAACTATCACCAGACATCTCTGAGATACCATCCCTCCATTTGAAGTTTCTTGACGATAGACTCTGCTTTTGAAGAGTCTACATTTTCCTGCAATTTATTTGAAAGAAAATAAATTTCAGTTTCCTTTTAACTCAAGAAAGGATTACATTCAAGACGAAACAAACGGGATAAGGTTACAAAAAGGAAACCCTCTGGACACAGAATTTGAATTAAATTAACTCACAGGAAAATTTCTTGTGCAAAGCACTTACCAAGTGTTTCTTTGGTATACTGAACCAGCAAGGTATGGTATAAGTTACCTTGATACTTCCACAATGTTTGGAAGCTCAAAAATTTGTATTGAAAAAAAATTGTATGAGCAAGAAAAAAACTGTAACTACTAAAACTTGAAACAAACTTTTCCATTCTGGACAACATACATTATAGTCCTCTATATTGTGCACTAAATAAATAAGTATAGTGTTTCTTTCTGTCGTCTCTATATCCAGTGTGGTACTGTAATACAACAAAACTCTAACCCAAAAACAACTCCAAAATTTTTGGGGCTTGGTGCGGGAGAGAAAAATTGGGTGAACCTTAATAAAAGTTATACCTGCTCCTGAACAATGTTGTGCAAGGTGCGATGAACATCCCTTGCCATGCCCTTGGCATCCCCACACACATAAAGATATCCTTCCTTGGAAATTAGGCTCCACATATATGCTGCCTGTACATGTAAAAATGAGTCATGGAATCACCAGTGTCATCTTTTTGAATTTCATGAATTACAGTCTCTGCTGTTTCCTACCATTTACTTACTTTATCAATCATCTTATGTTGAACATACTCCTTTTGTGGTCCCTCTCGAGAGAATGCAACAATTAGCTCAGAGATCACACCTTGCTCCACAAATTTATTGAGCTCATCCTCATAAATGAAATCCTGCAATAATGGTCATGGTACAAGATGCGTGTGATATAACAACATATTGTTTCCAACCATACAGATATTTGACAAATATCCTAACCATTCGCCGATTTCTACATCCAAAGAAGAGTAAAGCGGGACCGAGTTGAGCACCGACTTCTTTCAGGGCCATTCTTTCCTGAAAGGAGAAACAATATTCGTTTCCTTCTCTCCACAAAACAAAGGAAATATACAATTAGGAAATAACTTCAAACCTGTAGAAACCCTCTAAAAGGTGCCAAGCCAGTTCCAGGCCCCACCATAACTATCGGAATTGAAGGATTGGTTGGTAACTTGAAACTTGATGGCCTGATAAAAATTGGAGCTGAGCTCTCCAGAGGCACAGCATTCTGAATTTTTCCAATGTGATCGGACAGGAAAATTCATTAAGGCTTATTCTAGGAATGTACATGACAAACTAGCAATTCCTACAATAAATAAAGAGGAAATTTTCTTCTTAAGAAATTCATACAACTCAGCAATTACCTTCATCCAGGTTGAACAAACACCTCTATGGATTCTACCAGATGGAGTTGGACCATAAACCACTGCACAGGTTACATGAACTCTGTAGGGAGCAAATCTGCAAAATATGAAGAAATGGGTAGTTAAGACTATATATTACATAAATTTGCATTCTAATACCAATAATAAATAGGAAGAAGAGAAAACCTTGGCGAGGATGAAATCGAGTAATAACGAGGTTGTAAGTGAGGGGCAATTGCTGCAAAAAACACACCAAGCGGAGGTTTTGCTGATGGGAACTCAGCCATCACCTCAAGAAGACTCCTCTGACTTGCAACAATCCATTGTGAGTACTCTTCCTGGAAAAGAGGAAACATTGGTAAACGAGAAACATTGACATGAACATATGAAGAAGAGAAAACAATTCTTTAAAGAGCAAAATAGGCAGAATGGAGTGGCTCATTAACCTTCCCCTGAGGTGAAGCTAAAAACTTGAGTCTTTCTGCTTCACTCGGCTCGGTGGCATGTGCAGCCAAAGCAATCAAAGCAGCCTGAAGACATTCATACCCGATAATGGATTTGAAAAAACAACTAGTGTATAACAATCACAAACTGGCAAGAAGAGTGCAAAGGTCACCTTCCGAGGAGGGTTCAAGAGATCTGCATATCGTGCTAATGCAGTACGAAGTGTGCAGGGACCAGGGAAATGTGGGGGCAATGAACATCCACGGGGTGTGCCATCTTCATTGTCTGTATGTACAGAGAACACCAGGTCTAGAGGTTGACCCAACAATCTCCCTGCTTCTTCAACAGTTTCAGAATAATTCTCAGCATAAACACCCACATGGTCTCCTGTTTCATATCTGCAAAAGGAAGCCACAAGCTAGCTATTTATCAGAAACTAATGATGCTTTCTAGAATCTTTCAGTGATTTGATTCAAAATAAGTAGAATAATGGCTTTAGATTGTATAAACACAACCTAAAGGATACAGGCAATGGAATTCCAGAACACAAAGAACTAGTAACCACTGTGAACCCAAGAATATGGACCTCCTAAACAAACTATGTTTTTTTGTTGGAACAAAAAGTGGCGCATGCGGGCATATGCCCTCATGCATATAATCAAATTTAAAAGGAGATAATGCATGATCATTTCTGGGCTCTGGCAAATTTAAGTCTGCATCCTCAGATTGAAGTGAAAAAACATAGATTTGTCAAGCATACTGGTAAAATAACAAAAGAAACCTCACACAAGAATTTTGCAAAAGCCTGAAACAAGATCGTCTGAGTTACACTGGACAAAAGAAATAAGGCAGCATAACATGAAGCAATTCTTATTAATGATATTAAATTCAAGAAGTCAATTAAATCTCACAGCCAACAACTGATTCCAACCTGCTAAAATCTGGAATTCAGTTTATTTCCATTCCTTGGCAATCATAACAATGGAGCAAAGATGGCATGGGAAAAGTAACATATGCAATACACTTCAGAATATGGAAATTGATGTGTCTTCTCCTTATAGTATAAATAAAATGGTAAAATATTTCTACAATAGACATGCACATGAAGTAAGATTAAGAAGAGCAAGAGGGGTAACTTTGTTTCCCTCATAAACATCTCTATTCCAATCACATTTTGTCAAAGTGGGTTTATCCTTAAAAGTATACCTCGTTAATGGACAACTGCTAAAATTTAATAGACTTACGTAATACCAGTCCCTGATATGTCAAATTCCAAATGTATGCAGGACCTATTAGATTCAGGTTTGTGAAGCTCTCTTTGAATGGCAACATTTACTCTGCATGTGAAAGAAGCAAGATCAATTTAGTAGACTATAAAATCTCTTAAGAACCAGCAAAATGCACCTCTTTACCTACCGGCATGGGTGATGAATATCAAAAGAAGCATTCCCATTTGGCATGCTTGAGGAAGTATCCTCACATGATACGGTAGCAGGATCATGAATGACCAATCGATATTCAGGAATAGCAGCTGTATACGGCGTGGATACAGTGTTTGCATCATCCTCATCTCGGAGTATCTTGTCTAACTCAGGCCATAGCAATTCTTTCCTGCAGAAGATATTTAACAAAAGAAGCACAAGTTATACCATGAGAAATATAAAATCAAACTCAAGTCCGACTGAAAATCCATCGTCACCAAGATTAGGTATCAGCTGGAATTAAGTATGAGTAGGAGAAGGTAATGGAGTAGTAAAAGATAAGACTATACCATGCAGAGAAATCATCCTCAATGCATTGGTCATCATCACCAAGACCAACTTGAATAAGATGCTTTGCACCTGTGTCAACCATATGAATACCAACGGAATTAGACCCTAACATTATTAAAATAGAAACAAATGATCGTCATCACTGCTTTACTAGCAGATGATTTTTTCTGTCCCCTGATACTATCTGTTTCTAGAAAATGAGGCTACTGGGGGTTTCAACAATTTTCCCTGGAAGCAAATTTGAAAAACAAAGGTTCCCTCGCGTGTTGCTTTTTTTGCTTGGGAAGCTTGTTGGGGAAAGATACTCACTCTTGATAAATTAAAGCTAAGGGGCCTGATTTTAGAATGGCTGTCATCTCTGCCTACAGGATGAGGAATCTTGCAATCATCTTCTCTTATGGTGTCCAACAACGTATGATCTTTGGAGTATGATTTATGGTTTGCTGGGAATCAAATTGGTTATGGTGGGTACGGTTTGTGAGGAAGGGTTGGCTTGGTAAGGTCTACATATTAAAAGGAAAATAGCTAACTTAATCCAACTGACTGTCTTTTAGGTTTTGTGGAAAAAAATAAATAAAAGAGCTTTTGAGGGAAAAAAAATGTGATTTAACTAGAATGAATGATAGGTGTATGCATTATGTTGGGACTATTTTGATTGATCATGAAATTATTAGTGATAAAAGTTTTAAAAACGTAATTAACATTTTAACAATTTTGTAAATTTTTTGTACATGAGCGGTACCCCTGATTTGATACCTTGTCAATATACATCTTATATTTTTTATTTAAAAAAAATAGCAGATGAGGTTAGAGAGAGAGAAGTCCACACTGAATTTGATTCCCAATGCCAAATCAATATTTCATGTTAATAATTTTGTTGACATATCAACGTTGATAAATATATACTATTCGACTCTTTTATGTAAATTGTAACAGGCAAACAGCCTAAAAAATTTCAGTTGTTTTGCAAAATTTTGTTATGGAGTCATTCTGAAACCAACGCTTGTCACAATGTGCAAAGGTGCAAACTGCACAACACTGCAGATAAAACTATAACGGAAGATCCGCGATGCAACCTGACCCATTTATGTTGATTAAAATGACACTCTAAGAATTTTTTGCCATGTCAATCTTAGGAGTCAACACATGAGGAACACAGTTTATTAAGTGCTCCAACCTCCTAGCAAATTTCATATAATATAAAAGGCAACCATGATTAATCTGTCATTTTGGTATCAGGGGTCATAGCACGATCACAGCTAAGTAGCTGTGGAAAGAAAGAAGTGAAACAGCTTTTAAAGGAAAAAATGTGATTTAACTAGATTGAAAGATAGGTAGATGCATTATATTGGGACTATTTTGATTGATCATAAAATTATTAGTGATAAGAATTTTAGAAATGTCATTAACATTTTAACAATTTTGTAAATTTTTTGTATATGAG